AATTGAGTGTTATCTTATTTTGATTTCCACCTATCACAGCAAGCCTGTTTGCCTTCTCTCTCTTCCTCCTCGTTTCATCCCTGGTGACTTTTTTTCTTCTCAACCTGTGGAGATAATGATTTCAGAGGAGAGAATATTGATATCTTAAAGATATGACTCAAGAGGAGAGAATATAGATATCTTAAAGATATCAAAACTAAGATGAAGCAAGTAATAATAATTATAGTTACATAAACTGTATTTGTATAATATTTTATAAAGAACAATTGTATTTAATCTTTCCAGCATCCTTGTGACACAGAAGCATTAACCCCTTTTGAGAAATGAGGACATGAAAGATCAGAGAGTTTAAATTACTCATGGAAAGTCAGACAGCAGAATAGCCAATACTAGAAAATAGTATCCACTCTAACCTTTGTTAAAGAAGACTTCTTAAATGGTAGCACTCGTTCAAAAATTTTGACTGAGACAGACTAATGGAATAGAATAAAGAGTCTAGAAATAAACCTACACATATATAGTCAACTGATTCATGACACAGGTAATGTTGAAGTGCAATGGGGAAAAAGTGGACTTTTTAATCAATTGTATGGCTGTATGGAAGAAAAATGAATTTGAATCCCTACCTTATGCCATACACAAAAAATTAATTTGAGATCAATAAGGACCTAAATATGAAAGGTAAAATAATAAAGCTTTTAGAAGGAAACAGATTATCTTCATGACCTTATCTATCAAACATTTCTTAAGTAGGCAAAGATTTCTAAAACAGGACAAAATAAAAATCAAATCTTAAAGAAAAAGTTGATAAATCAGTCTTCATTAAAATGAACTCATCAAGAGAAGAAAGTGAAAAAGCAGGCCACCAAATTGGAGAAGATATTTGCAACACATCTACAAATAAAGGACTCTATCCAGAATATATTAAAAAGTCCTACAAATCCGTACAAATAAAGTCAGTCAACCCAATAAAAAATCAGCAAAAGGCTTGAACAGGCACTTCACAAAAGAGGTATCCAAATGACCAGTAGTCATATAAAACTTCATTAGTCATCAGGAAAATGCATAATAAAACCATGAGACCACTGCACATCCACAAGAATGACTAAATTTTAAAACTGACAATACCAAATGTTGACACAACTGTAGAGCAACTAGTGAGAGTGTAAATTGGTATAAACACTTTGAAACACTATTTGGCAGTATATTCTAAAGCTTGACACAGCAGATAAGATGTAAGAAAGTGTATTCACAGCAGTACTCTTCAATATAGCCCCAAACTGGAAACAATCCAAGTGTCCATCAAGAGTAGGATAGATAAGTTAAATTGTAATATATTCACTGTATTCAGCAGTGCTTTCTTAACCTAACTGTGGTGAAGGACCAGATTTTTTTGCCCTAGCTATCAGAATAAAACTCTTGTATAATACAATATTACACACAACCTCAAACTGGAAAAGTCTCTAAATGCTCACGCACACTTTTTGCACAGGTGGAGCTGTAGATCAGTGGCAGATGGTATGGACCAGCCCTGGTCCACAGACTGCACCTTGAATAGCACTGCTCTCAAGTGATGAAAAAGAACATCTCAAGTAATGAAAATGTATAGACTAGCTACACATAACAACCTGGATGAATCTCACAACCAGACACAGAAGAGCCTATATTTTATGATTTCATTCAAGCAAAGTTCAATGACAACAAAAATCACTAACCTGTGATGTTCGAAACTAGAATTACCCTTGAGGAGCAGGGGATTGTCATTCGAAGAGGCCATGAGGGGAATTCTGGAGTTCTTGATCTTGACATTGGATCATTTTTGTGCTGGTTATATGAATGTGCTCATTTGTGAAAATTTATCTAGCTGCCCACTGATGACAGGGTCTCTTTTTTATTTTACTTATAATTTACATTAAAAATTATTGAACACCAGGGCACCTGGGTGGCTGTCAGTTGAGCGTCGGACTCTTGGTTTCGGTCTGGTCATGACTCAGGACTGTGGGACTGAGCCCCACATGGGCTCCACATGGGTGTGGAACCTACTTGGGATTCTCTTTCTCCCTCTCCCTCTACCTCTCTCTCTCCCTCCTCTCTTTCTCTCCCTCTCTAAATTAAACAAATAAATAATTATTGAACACCTATTAAACACATGCACTCTAAACTTCTGAAGGTACTAGATTAGAGGAGAAAGCAATGGAAATGCAAGTATACACACAAATGTGGCATTACAAATTATGATTTTATGAAAGGAATCATAACAAGATATAGTGATAGAAAATAATGAAGGAAGAAACCTACTTAGATTAGGTGGACAAGGAAGGGGCTTCTCTGATGAAATATTTTAGCTGAGGCCTGGGAAAGGAAAAGGAATTGGTGATGCCAAGAGTGGAGGAAACAATCCACAGATTTCAACAGTTGTTTTGGGTAGAGGAATAAAGATAATTTAATGGGTTTATGGTAAAAGAGGGCATTGCAGACATAGGTATGACTTGGGAATTGGTGTTATAAAATTTGGGACAGGAAGAAATGGGAGGAAAAAAAGTAGGATTTTGGCTTACAGTTGCAAGTAAAAAGACCAGAATGGATAGTTTTGCAAGAAGCTTGTCAACATCAGCACGAGAAAAGAATAATTGTGGTATCTAGAATAAAGGAAAATCTAGTTTTTGTTTTTGTTTTGAGAGAGAGCGTGCATGAGCAAGTGTGTGCGGTGGGAAGGGGCAGAGAGAGGGGGAGAGAGAGAATCCCAAACAGACTCCTCTCTCAGCACAGAACCCGATGCAGGGCTCGGTCTCACGACCCTGAGATCATGACTTGAGCCAAAATCAAGAGTCATACACTAAACTGACTGACCCACCCAGGCACCTCAGGAAAATCTAGTTTAAAAGGAAGTGCATTCCCACTTAATTTTCAGACCCAAGCAAAATCTGATCTTATTAAGAGTTAAGAAATGGAAGGAGTACCTGGGTGGCACAGGCAGTTGGGCGTTGGACTCTTGGTTTTGACTAGGGTTGTGATCTTGGGGTCATGGGATTGGGCCCTACTTCGGGTTCTGGCTGGGTGCGGAGTCTGGGTTTCTCTCTCCCTCTCCTTCTGCCCCTCCCCATTGCTCATACTTGCTCACTCTCTTTCTAAAATAAATGGATAAATCTTTAAAAAAATAAATAGAAGGAGTTAAATGGAAGAATTTCACATGCGTTTCAGTGTGCTTCATGTAGTTTGGGGTAAGTAAAAGTGTATTTACATATTAGAGAATTTTGTTTCAGGCATTTGAAAATGGATGGCGAACGGGACAGTGTCCATATCAACCCTACCAGTCTTCGTGTCTCTGGCATTCCACTGATTCTCTTCCCCTTTTCTCTCTCCCTTCCCCAACACACGATTATTTCATTATCACTCATTTCAGCTCTATCTTCTGTTTCCTTTCTCCCTCATCATTCCCCCTCACCTTCAAATGTTCCATTGCAAGTGCTGAGCACTTCCTTATATATCATCCTCTTTAATTCTTTTATAACCCTAACAGTCACGTGTGTGGAGATGCATGTGGGGAAACTTCGGCTCAGAGAAGCTGTATGACTTGTCTAGGGTTACAACTTAGACTCCAGACTCCAAGTGCAGAGCTTTTTCCATTATGCCATACTGAGGCCTTCATCTCTTCCAAATAAACATATAATAGTTTTATGCTTAAAATACTGTCCTCTGCATTATGAGTAATGAAATTGTGCTCTATTGTTTGTTAGATTTTATAAGACACATCGTCTCACATCTTATATATGAATATAAGAACATATATCAATATATGTATAATATGTGAGTATATTTCACTGTACACAGACTTGAGATAAATACATACTAAAGTTTTTTAATTTTTTTTTTTTAAGGATTTTATTTATTTATTTGACAAAGGGAGACCCAGCGAGAGCAGGAACACAAGCAGGGGGAGTGGGAGAGGGAGAAGCAGGGAGCCCGATGCGGCGCTCGATCCCAGGACCCTGGGATCATGACCTGAGCCAAAGGCAGACGCTTAACCGACTGAGCCACCCAGGCGCCCCAAGTTTTTTAATTTTTTATAAAGTTTTTTTAATTTTTAAATAGTTTTTGAAGTAATTGGTGACTTCCTGAAGTGTAGCATGCGCAGGATCTCTATTATAATTATCACTCATATTATCTGTCTTCTTAATTACTAAAAATCTGGAAGAAGAGAGAGATGACCTTGATGCAGGTGATTAAAGAAATTATAGTGCCCCAAGAGCTCACTAAAAAAGAGGAGGTAAACTAAGTGATTATTCATAACTTAGCTTATTTCCTACTGCTTGCCTTTTTCCCTCTGACTCTGTGTGTCTTTAATACCAGTGAGTGAGTAAACATTGGAGAAAATAGGAGATTAAACTCAGATCACTTGTTTTTCATCACTTGCCAATAATTCTGGGGGAATTAGCAAGATTTGGGGGAGCTAGGAGATTAAGAAGACTCATTAAAATGAAGTTGATTATATATTTTAATTTATTGCTTTTGAAAATTAAGAAATGAGGCATTAAGGATGTATAACCCACTCCTAAAATATCTGATAGCATTACATCTATTTGAACTTTTATAGCAATTAGTAGACTGGAACAGTATACTATCAAAAGAATCTAGGCTTTCTGGAAATGGCAAAGCATTAGGTGAATTGAATCTTAAGGTAAAACAGAGTGGGAAATGCATGGATGTTGATCATGCATCTCTTTGCCTGACATGCCCTGAGGGAGTGGCTAGATCAGCACCTTCTGGTTTCAGCCATTTCTGGAGGTGTTTGTAGCTCTTCATATGAGACAGTAACCATTCACTTAGTATTGAGAACTTTTTCTAAATATCCTGACTTCTATCACGTATGGTATAAGAATGACTGTTTAGGGGGGACAGGTGGGCCATAAGATGACTCCCAGGATGTAGTGATACACCAAACTCCTTCATTAAGGCATTCAACCCCCAATTTTTCCTCTTGTCTTTTTTATTTGCTGTAGAGTGATTCTCATCAGTTCCGTGTCATGGCAGCTGTCCTTCGCCATTGTTTACTAATCGTAGGTCCAACTGAAGACAAAACAGAAGAGCTGCACAGGTAGGTAACCTCTGTGTTGGTAGCTTAACAAAGGACATCGTCGATTCCTGTTGTTTTTATGCACCTAATTTTAGTTGTTATAAGTACAATAAAGTGAAACTATTACAGTGAATCAGGTAACTGGTGAGAAATCATTACTGATGAGAAATTTTCATTCTATCCCCTTTGACTTTGTTAAATTGAGTCCCAACAAAAGAAGGGAATTTGGCATTTGTTGCATTCAACAATAAAACCCAGACTAACAATAATAATAGCACAATTCAGCAGTTACTGAGTACTATGTGTGACATGATTCTAAATGCTTTATAAAGATTAACTTACTTTAATCAGCACACTCACCTTATGAGGTGTAGGTACTGCTATTTTTCCCTTTTGATAGGTGATGAAAGTGGGGCATAGAAAAATGAAGCGGGGCGCCTGGATGGCTCAGTTGGTTAAGCGACTGCCTTCGGCTCAGGTCATGATCCTGGAGTCCCTGGATCGAGTCCCGCATCGGGCTCCCTGCTCGGCAGGGAGTCTGCTTCGTCCTCTGACCCTATCCCCTCTCATGTGTTCTCTCTCTCTCATTCTCTCTCTCTCAAATAAATAAATAAAATCTTTAAAAAAAAAAAAAAGAAAAATGAAGCAATTTCTTTGAGATCACACAGCCTAGTAAGTGACAGGGCTTGGATTTGAACCCTGCTTTTCATTACTACGCTCAAACTAATAGTCTCACTGATTTCACTGTAGGAGTATTTACCAAAAAGTATACTGTAAGCAATATGTATTAATTAAATTTTTAAAACTTACTATAAAAATTGGTTCACAGTCTCAAGTATTAATATTTAAAAAATAGTTCAAGTGTTGTGCCTTGCCTTTTGGAACTCTTGATGGACTACTGCTAAAATGTGTCATTCTGTGAGAACTGAGTTCATGCATTTTTCTAGTTCTCTATCTATATTCTAGATCAGGCTTGCAATTACAACACTTCTGACTTTAACATAAAACTGCTTATGGTGCTTTACTCTTTTAAAATACAAGTGGTATTTTCTTTTAAAGATTTTATTTATTTATTTGAGAGAGACAGCGAGCATGAGCAGGTGGAGGGGCAGTGGGAGAGGGAGAAGCAGGCTCCCCACTGAGCAGGGAGCCTAACTCACTGGGCTCAATCCCAGGGTCCTGGGATCATGACCCATGAGCCAATAGGGGATGCTTAACTGAGTGAGCCACCCAGGCACCCCAAATACAAATGGCATTTTAAACAATTCAAATAATTCAAATCTGCAAACAATTAACTTTGGCATTAACTCTGCTTTACAAATAAAATTAGATTCTTCTTAATAGTAGAAAGCACCTTTTGAGCATTTACAATATTCTGGTTTTCAAAATATGGCTTAAATAAAACTTCATAGAAACACAACCAGAGTGTAAAAATGAAATATAACCTTAATTGTTATTTTTCAATCAAATCCTTATTATTTTAGTTATGATCAGCAATTTATTATTTGATATTACACAGTTTGTTGATAGGTTATCTTTATGTACTCTGCCCTGCAAACATTAAAAAGATTATTTTCCTCACAATTAAAAAGTGTGATTTTTTTCTTCATCTATAGATCAAAATTTCCTTTAATTTTCTTGAGACTGTGCCTTTAAAAAATAATCAGATTAAGTGCAATAAATCATAGCCTCTAAAAAGACTTAAACATTTTGACTCACTATAATTTTTTTTACAAATACAGATGCTAAAGCTTTTTAAAAAAATGGATTTATAATAAGCCCAGCAGTAAATTGATGGCTTTTTTTTTAGAAATCAGATACCATAAGTTAAATCGCATTCATACAAGAATGTGAGGAGAAAGTGTTTTGGGAATTGTTAACACTAGTTACAAAAAAACATTGCTAAGGATTTCTCTGATAAATTTAATATTTTAACAAAGCACCCAGTATTTATCAAAAAAGAATAAGAAGAGAGGTTTTAAAACACAGATTTTTTAAAAAGTAATCAGATTTCTTTGTTTTCCTTCTGATAATATTTGCTTTAAAATATTCTTAAATAAATTTTAAAGATATTTTTCTTTAAATTTGCTTTTATCTTAAAAATTGCTCTGATAAAATATCTATTAGCTACACTGTAAATAAGAAGGGATATCCCTAGAGCCACAAACAGGATATAGAAGTATATCTCAAAGGCTTTCCTAGGAGATTGAGGTTGCTGCTGACTTGACAGTTTATCTGGAATGGCCCTGCATGTCCCTTTAATCAGAATTAAAGTGATTAGTACTGTTTGAGTAGTGACTCTAGGCTAAGCCATTTAAATACAGAGAAAACTGCATTAACCTCAAAGGGCTATATTAGGAAACTTACTAGGATTGTAATACCCACTAAATTCTGCATATTTATAGTGGCCCTGAAAATCATGTGTGTTTAAGGCAAAGTTAAAAAAAATCAGAATGTTTTCAAAGTAACATTTTGTTCCATTTTTTTAAAAGTTATTTTCTGAGTTTGTTTTTTTCTTTTTGACACTTTAAGGAAAAATGTAATGAAATAGGCAAACCTGGATAGTATATGATTATGCCTTGTCATTAAACTCAAAGAGTTGTAGCAGTGAGTAAATGAGAAATCAACAAAGCACTCTGTCCCTGGCACTGAGGAAGCACTCGCCAAGTGCGTGAGCTGCTGTCGCCTCTGCCATCACGCTGCTGCCACCGCCACTTCTGTTACTATTATTACAATAAGCACACTGGCTTTTAGATCCAATACGGAGTTCCAGATCTCTTTTTAAAAGTTGTGTTTGATTTTGATATTTTGTTAGGAACTTATTTCTAAGTATATCCTGTGATCATGTAGAGAAATCTGTTTTCCATTCATCTAAGTTTTTCTCAAGCCACATATGTTCTATGATACGTGCATGGCAGGAGTCGACTAGGCTCCTGCGAGTGAGTAGAAACATGGCTTGGCAGCAGCTTTTTCTGATGTGCTGTCTCTGTACAACAGTGTCCTTTTTTTCCCCACCCCCAGAGCAATCAAGAGGACACGACATAGAGATAAAATGAGTTAGCTCGCATAGACGGCTGACCTTAACCTTTATTTCCTCTAATCCGCATCTTAGATAGTTTTTAAAATCTACTTATTTCATTTCCTTTTGTCTATAATTAAAGTAACAAGTAAATTGTTGGTTTGAGCCATCTTTTTTGATACATTAAAGGACGTCCTAATTCTGTTCATCTCTGCTGTCTTCCTGAAAGTATTTTCAGCCCTCTTGTCCATAATCAGTAAGTTTATGCATAAACAGCCAAAAACAGTTACATGTAGATGTGGTTGTGGTTTTGTTTTATTTTAGAGAGAAGGGGGGAAATGGAAATGGAAATGGCCTAAACGCTAGAGAGGTAAGGAGAGGAGAGGGAAGGACCAGATCTGATTTAATTTATTTTAGCCTCTCAATCTTTCTTTCACTTAGCATATTGGCATCTACAAAATGCTTTCTTTTTTTTTTCTGCACTCAAAGAACCCATGTGTCTTTAAAAAGTACTTACCTCCCTGCCTTTTTTGTTGTTTCTTTGCTTAAACTAATTTATTTTATCTCGTATACTGAAGGAGACAATTTAGTACCTAATGATACCTCATTACAATCCTAGGCAATGTCTTTTTTTCCAACTTTATTGAGATACAGTGGACGTATAACGCTGTTTCAGTTTAAGGTATACAATGGCATTGATTTGATAGATTTACATATTGCAGAATGATTACCACCACAGCATTAGCTAGGCACAATGTCTTACACATGGCCAACTTTTAATTAATGTTTGAAAATTGAGGGGAGAGGAGATTGGGGGTAGGTAAAACAGGTGAAGGGGATTAAGAGGTACAAACTTGCAGTTATAAAATAAATAAGTCACAGGGATGAAAAGTACAGCATAGGGAATAAAGTCAATAATATTGTAATAATGTTGTTTAGTGACAGGTGGTAACTACACTTAAGGTGGTGAACATTGAGTTTGAGTAATGTATAGAATTGTCGAATCACTATGTTGTACACCTGAAATTAATAAAACATTGTATGTGAACTACAATAAAAAAAATTTTTTTTGTAGAAGTTTGAAAATTGGATGATTTCATTTTGGCTTCTACTTATTAACTGAGCACTTACTCTATGTTAGGCACTATGTGGAGCTCAAAAACAACAAAGATGAAAACAGTATAATCTGTGTTCTCCAGGGCTCACCAGCTAGGGGGTAAAACAGACATGTAGGTAAATAAGTGCAGTTATGTTGATGAGGGTTGTGTAGGACACAGACAAGCTTATATAGGTATATAGAAAACAAGAGAGTTTACTTTGGAGAGATCGGAGAAGGGGGGTCTTATTTTATTTTTTTGTTATCATTAAAGCTCCTAGCTCTTTTTTTTTTTTTAACTTTATTATGTTATGTTAGTCACCATACAATACATCATTAGTTTTTGATGTGGTGATCCACGATCCATTGTTTTCGTATAACACCCAGTGCTCCATATAGTACGTGCCCTACTTAATACTCATCACCGGGCTAACCAATCCCCCCTCCCCCCTCCCCTCTAAAACCCTGTTTGTTTCTCAGAGTCCATAGTCTCTCATGGTTCATCTCTCCCTCCAATTCCCCCCCCCACCTCATTTTTCCCTTCCTTCTCCTAGTGTCCTCCATGCTATTCCTTATGTTCCACAAATAAGTGAAACCATATGATAATTGACTTTCTCTGCTTGACTTATTTCACTTAGCATAATCTCCTCCAGTCCCATCCATGTTGATGTAGAAGTTGGGTATTCATCCTTTCTGATGGCTGAGTAAATATTCCATTGTATATATGGACCACATCTTCTTTATCCACTCATCTGTTGAAGGGCATCTTGGCTCTTTCCACAGTTTGGCTATTGCGGACATTGCTGCTATGAACATTGGGGTGCACATGGCCCTTCTTTTCACTACATCTGTGTTTGGGGTAAATACCAGGAGTGCAATTGCTGGGTCATAGGGTAGCTCGATTTT